GCTCCGGTCGGGTTGGCGGCCGCCTGCGCGGCGGAGCGGTGCCTTCCTTTCCGAGGGCCAGATGTTGTGCGAGGGAAACGGCAGCCCACAAAGGCCCAGCTTGTCAGAGATCTGGAGCGGGGGGGCTGCGCACGTAGCCTCGTTCGTAACCCAAACCAGGAGGCTGAGCACTCCTGCTCCCTCCTCCCCTGGCATTTGTGTCTTGGGCCTGATGTCAGTGTCTGATTTCCATGCCCCTGGCTCTTCTATTTTTAAGTCCTCTTACGTTTAGGTTGATGGGAGGTTTCAAATGTGAGGCAACAAAATTGCTTCTTGTTAATTTGCTCTCCAGTGTGTGGCCTGATCGTGGATCTGAGGGCAGATTTGCCCTGTGGTTGGTGTCTTTGCTTTATCTCTGTTGCCAGTTAACTCTCGATGTGTGATTTTTAGAGTGTAGGAGACAGCCTGGAGTGCCCGTTGCACAAAGCAGGGGTTGCAGCTGCGGTCTCACGGCTGCCGCAGCGAACAGGGATCTTGTGGCCTGCAAACACATCGTGTTTTGCCTGCCTGCCTTCGGGATGGGTGCCTCAGGGGCACTGAGCTAATGCTTTAGATGCTTATGGGGTGCTGGCCCTCGCTTCCCTGCTCCTGGTTGTGCCAGAGGCCCTGCTCAGAGCGTCACAGGAGATGGAGCTGGCCTGTAAAGGGGAAAAAATAAATATGAGCCTTGGTGCTGTGCTGAAGATGATGGAAGGACTCGGGACTTGGAGGTGGATTGGTGATTGTTTCTGTCTCTTCCTTCCAAGTCGTGCTCTGTCCTGATTTTCCTTCTCCTCTGTTTTAGAGTCTGTCCCAGCAGAACGTCAAAGCAACCAAGGTTTCGAGCCCAGCGGCTGCCAAGGCCAATGCCACCCTGCCTTTGGGGAAGGGGACAAAGGCTCCTGCTGTCCCTCCAGTTAGCAGAGTGTCCGAGAGCTCCGGCAGAGAGTCCGTGGAGCAGAACGTGCTGGCAGGAAAGGTAATGACGGAGGAGACCGAAGTGAAAGCTTCCCTGGGAGGGAGTGGGCAGATGGGTGTGCTGGCCTCTGAGGCTGCTGCCGTGTCCCCAGCTGAGGGAGTGGGGGCGAGGGGGGCTGCTCCATTTTAACCCCTGCGATCACACCGTCAGGTCAGGTGGGTGAGCGGAGGGCAGCCCTGGTACCTTTGCTATTCCTCCTCCCGCTTGGCTGGCAGGTTTCTGCCTCCTCTGGCAAGAGCAGTGCCCTGTACAGTCAGGAGTTTGTAGCTTGGCCACAGCCTCCTGCCTCACCCATGGGCTGGGGGAGATGGGGGGGCTCTGCGCCCGTCATGAGAGGTTCTTGAGCTAAACTTGACACAACCTGAGCAGAATGGCTGAAGGAGGGCTGAGGTGCTCCAAGCCTATCTGCTCTTATTCCTCCTGCAGTTGTTCCTCCTTTCAGATTTGTCTTCCTTTCCCTAGGCCCCCACTCCTCCTTGCCTAAAGCAAACGGTTCCTGAGGGGAAAGCTCCTCCAGCCAGCGCAGTCACCCCACCAGCTGCTTCGCTCCTGGCAAATCCCGAGGCCAAGCCGAAGAAGCCAGACCCGCAGCCAGCACAGGACAGCCGGCTGGGCCAGGCCGTGCCGCCCGCCCAGGTGGAGGAGACCTCGGACAGCAGCAGTTCCTCAGACAGCGAGGAGGAGACACCCAAGCAGCCCCCCAAACCCGGTCAGTTCTCCCCAGAAGATTCTCTAGGGGCTGCTGGACAGGTCAGGATGGGGACAGCGTTTTGTTATCCCGTGGGAGGTGGGTCACCTTCAGGTAGTGGTTGGAGGGGGTTTCCTCCTCCAGCTTGGCAGACTGCTTCCCTCTCTTTGGAGGCAGAAGGCCTTTTGGTGGCAGTAACTGTGCTGGGTAGGCGAGCTCAGCTCCAGACGGTAGCGCTGGGCTTAATGAAATGAACTCTGCTCCTCCAGGCCCACTGCAGAAACCAGGAGGAACCCAGCCAGCCCCCAGCTCCTCCTCAGAGTCCAGTGAGGAGGAAGAGGAGGTGGCAGCATCATCATCACAGGTATGGTACCTGAGCCGGCTGCGATCCTCTCGGGTCTTGCAACTGGCTCGTAAGTAGGGCAGAGAGAGGATTGAATTCTCAGCCACAGGGAATGGGGTGCCGAGTGAGTTTGCCAGCACAAAATTGGGGGCTTCCCAGTGCAGTGCAGTGAGCAGGGCCTTCTGGTGGGGGCAGAAAGAGGCTTTTGAACCTGGAATGCTTCCCCAGGCAGCTGGGCCTTGAGTCCAGGGCTTGTGGTGCCTTGCAAGGGTTAAACCAGGAGAACTGGTCCTCGGTGCCAATAGCAGCAGGACTTTTTTTTTTCTTCCCACTTTTATTTGTAACTTAACCCATGTCCAAGCCATTAAATTCCCTTTGTAAGGAACGTGCAGGACGTGCAGCACATCTGCGGTGCATTAGCTCTGCGTGGGTGCACGCTGAGGGCCAGGGGCCTCCCTCAAGCCCGTGTTACTGGGCGAGAACAAAGAGAACCTCTGCCACCAGCTCTCGCTGTCAGCTCAGCCAGTGTCTCTCGGGCCCCTCTCCTGGCAGCCGTGGCCTGGCTGGCTGAGCGGCGCAGGGTCACTGGGTGGGTGGCCAAAGGTGGGCCCTTGGCTTGAGGGCGGGAGGCAATAGCTGCACAGATCTCTGTGTGTGGGAGGCTGCCCTGCTGTCGCACCTCAGTTTGTCTGTGCTTTTCAGTCTCT